GTTACTTAATTTTTTAATTGGCTCGTCTTGTGTCTTACATATGGGAGGGAGAGTGAAGATTGTGGAATTGTCCACTAAATCTGTCAAATGGTACATCTTTGGAAATTACCTTCTGGTGTGATTTTTTTTCAAACTGACACTGAGCCAGGTCAGATGTAACAGGGAGACAAAAATATCACATTTTTGGATCCCTAATTTCTTGAATTGTCCAACTGCAAATGGACCACTCTTTACCTTAAAATTTCCTCTTGTACTGTAGGCACTGTAGTATTGGATTGTAAATGGTGAACAGGGTATAATTTATGAGAAGCTTTGCTTTCTAGGACAGTGTCTTTGCTCAACACACAGGAAAGTCAAACAGGCACTTGAAGGGGGGACAAGATGGTTTCCAGGAGTCAGTTTCCTTTCTTTAAGGTCTCATTTCTGCAACCATGTGTGTGCATAGCAGAAAGCGGTCAGAGAGGTGCCAGAGCTCACAGCAGTTGTTTGCTTTGATGACCTTATTTGGGGTCAATTTGTCATCATGCACCAAGAGATCGGTGGTACACTGCACTTGTAGTGTCTGTGCTGTAACTTGTGAGCTAGGCTAGATTCTGGAGAGCAGTCATCACTGGAAGAAGTGTACCTGTGTACATGTACATGTATGGCACAGTTGCGTGGTGATCAGTGAAATCTTGACAGGCTTGGAGACTTTTGCCTGTGCTCCCTCATAAGTCATGTCACTGATCTAGATGTAGGCCTTGCGTAGTGTTAGAATAATAGCCTAAGAGAACCTAAATTTCCAGTGATATTATACATGTATCTGTAACAGCCAGTTTAAAGTGCTGCTATCAGTGCTTATTTATAAATATAGATTACTGTGCCATCAGGTCATCTTCAGGCTCCTTTACATGTGTTTACACCTTCAGAAACAATCTTGATCTTTGTGTATACTGACAAGTACAAATATACTGAGTATGTGTACATGTACATGTACATGTAAGTTCAGAGGCCCAGCATGATATTTTTGTACAGATTTCTATCACTGCGGCAAAGCCTGACATTTCCCCACTGTGCACTTTCCATGCTATACTACTTCCATTGGGATGATGTAGAATCTGATTATTGGGTTTTTTACTGGCCAGCAGACTGGTGACCAACCATGACAAGCTCGGCGGTTGAGTGGTAAGACATCTGCATTTGTGAGCAGGGAGTTATTTTTTTACTCGTCGTAAGCACTGAGTATAAAGTGTTCATAGATATTTGCCAGTGAAAATCTAAAATACCCAATATAAAATGAACAGCTCTGTGATGCAAAAATTACTTCTGGAAAAGCTGTAATTGGGGTTGGAGACCCTACCTGTACTAAGTACATGTAGGGATTTCAACAATATGCAAAAGGCTGAGGAGGGAGGCAATTTTGTGAGGCAACTGTACTGTATCATGTGTGATATTTTGCAATAACGTGTATAATTCTGTTTCACTTCGAGATTCAACTTCCAGCAAGAACTGTCGTACATTTACCCATTTTAGGTGAAACAAAAAAGGAAAAACACTGAACCAAGTGTATGAATATTGGTGTTCCACTTGTACATTTAGAGTGCACAATACAGGCACCGGTATGTGTTTTATTTGGACTTGATTATTTGGTGTGGGAATTGGAAGTGTTTGCTAAAAATCCTTATTCAGACACATACATGTTCATGTACATACATGTACATCACCTACATTTTTAGTACCAGTACATGTTGTACATGTACGTACATGTACCGTGCCTACCGTACCTACATGTACATAAATACTCAATACATTTGTCTCCTGTTTCTCCCACCCATCCCTCAGGAGAGTATCCCTTCACGTGATGTAATTATACATTCCTCAATTTGCACTTTCCACTGAGACAAGCCTGAAATCACATTAAATTTTCAGTGTAATTACATTGTGCGTACAAGCTTTATATAGAGGGATTTAGTCCCTGACAGTGAGTCATATGCCATACTCCCAAATCTGACATTTGATTGTTTTTCTAAAGGAGTTTAAATGAGCGTGTACATGTACATGTAGTTTTAGCTGTGTAATTTTTAGTTGTAGCACTGTATTGGTAAGGTTTGTTTTTGGTTTTTACTGAGTTACCGGTACAAAGTTTGGCAAGTCATCATTGCTGGTTGTCTGTGATATGTAAAAGTATACGCTGTCTGGAAGTATTGGTGTAAATGATCTATGCACATGTATACTGTATACATGTATGCCTATTTCCTTTAGTCTCTCATATGCCTTGCATCATTGTATAAAGTACATGTAGCAGGACTTTTGTGTACCCATTTCTATGTTTTGTTGGTGACTTGCGTGGTGCAAGCAGCCGAACCACTTTGCGTGTTGAGTTGCTGGTGTGATCCCAGCAGCAGTCCCACCGACGGATATTTCCAATGAGCTGTGGTCGATGACATCATAGGCGGCCCCCATAGCTACCAGTCCCTACAGGAAATGCCCGCTCATAGTGCTTACGACGAGGACTATTATTAGTCAGGGTGGGATCTTGTTGCCTCACAAAAGAATCTGAGAAGTTAACCTGTTGGTAATAGTACTCACAGAGCATGCAGGAAGTACATGTACCGTAGCTAAGGAACAAAACACATACAGGGCGGCATGGAAATAATATTTTTTGGCCATGAAATACATGTAATTACATGTACAGTACATGTACCTTTATACGGTACAGCATATAGCCGAATTCATTGTGCTTTTTGCTCATTTGAGATGCGTGTTATGCGTATCACCCCTCCGTCTAATCTTTACACACATTTTCAGAAGATCACATTTCTCTACTTTGGCAGAAGCATAGACCTGTAAAGAATTTAAAATTCCTTGTACTACTAAGTCGCCAGAATCCTTAGTAAACACGTAGAGAAGCCAAGTGTGTCCAGTAATAATATTGAGTGGCATGTTTTCAAAATGTCTCGTCACCCGACAGGTGTATGCATGTGTCCAGATGGAACTGAAATTTGCGACAAAGTCCCAAATAACTGAGAACACTTGTTTTTTTCCTCTGTCGACAGTGAACTTGGTGTTTGTAATGGATGCAAATAACTGTACATTTGTGTCATTAGAGTTTAATTTGATACACGTGCCTGACCAATTCATGGATATGTTTGTGGTGATGTGATTCATCAATCAACCTTCCACTGAGGTTTGCTGTTGGTTAGCCATGCATGTTGTGTGTACCGGTACATGTACTGTTATGGTGGTTATAATGTACGTCATCGTGTTGCTTCCGTTCTCCTTCTTTCTGCTCACCGCTATTGTGTCTATCCTTACCAAAAAAAATGACATGCCTGTTGTTTAGTATGGTACCTTACAGTTGTCAGTGTACATGTACATGCATGTACATGTAACGTACGGTATTTGCCAACAATTTTTGTGGACAAACTTTTTTTAATGAAAGGGGTTGTGGGCGACATCAGTTGTATCTCATAGGAAACAGGAATTGGAAACAAATGTGTGTGGGTGGGTACATGGGCAAGTACCGTGCATGTATACATGTAGGCTAATGTGCCAATACATGTGTGTAGAAAGTTTAAGGCATTTGGCAGCAGTATGGGTGTAGAGACTAACAGAGGGTCAGTTGTCTCAGCTGCGGTACTGGTGCTTTGCTTGATTAAGATAACATGATTCGTGTCAACTTTCATAAAGAATAAATAGGGGATTTGACTTGAAATGGATGACTCTTTCTTTATAGGGTGCGTTCAAAATGATTAAATTCACTCTTATCGTGGGCAAAACAAAACTAGTTTTCAGCCATGCTTACTCATGCTTTCCAGTTCAGGGAAAACTTACTCAATCACATCCCTGGAGTGAGCTTTACTATTAAAGGGCGTGCTGCAGGGTATGGAGTTCAAAGAGTTTGATCAAAGGTTATCTTTGTGTACACAGTGCGATCACCAGGTGTCATTTTATTGAAATGTCTTTTGCCTATTTGAGCCATACACAGTATGATATGATCGCATACATCTTCAAACCAAGCCCCACTGAGGGCAGTCATAGATCTGGGTCAAAAGTTTCCCAGTAGGGGTCATGTCCTACAATACAGTTTCCAGCCATGCTTACTCAGTAAACAGGTACATATAGTTTTCCATAACGTATATTTTCAAGACTGCATGCAAATATCTTCTTTGCCAACAAGTTTTAAAAACTCACATCAGGCCACACATGGTCAGCTCGTACAGTACATGTACATGTACTGTACATGTATTTCAAAGTGGAAGTTCTTTTTCCACAGATTTTCATGGGAGTTATACGTTTAAATGTCAAAAAAGGCAGGATTGTTTGTTCAGTCATGTACATGTAGTGCTTCGTGCATTCCTAAGTGTAACCGTGCACTTGCGATATTAAGGCTCCAACCTTTTGCATGTCATTGAGAAACACTAGTGCCGTTCCCTCCAACGTTTTCCCTAACCGTATCCTGAGAAATACAACACGCTCCTGACCTTTGCAAAATTACATTTTGTCACCGAGTTTCCCGAGAAATTCAATGTGAAACATTATTATCCAATATGAACCCCAGGACCGTTGGAGCCTTCAGGGAGAGCCTTTGCCAGGACATGCATTACATCAGCTGTACCTTGCTGCAGGATCGTGTAGACATGCCATCTCAACCCCTGTCTTTTTTTCCATCAGTCCCAGCCAGACTTTTTTCTTAGCGAGTGTATCAGTATTCCGTGGCCCTGGGGCAAGTGTATTGAGGATAATCAACCCAGTCTCTTGCAATTTGTCAGCCCAAGTCAGATGTGTTGTTTTTGATAACATCTACATGTGCAGGGTACAAGTAATCCATTTAAAAACCAGGTCTTATTAAATTTATCATTTGCGCAGTGACAGTTATTATCCTGATATGACACTGACTGCATATAAATAAATTGCTTGTGAAAAGATCGTATCATGAAAAAATAAACATTTAATGAGCCTAAATTCATTCTCTGTTTACCTTGAATATAATGAACATTTATGTTTTATTATTCATGCAGATATCATAGAAATTCCAGACAATATTAAGTACTGCAAGGCTCTGACTGTCATTGACTTCAGTGGCAACCCACTTTCCAGGTATAGTATGCAAATAAGATATATTAGCATAATTGTCAGTGGTAAGCTAAGTATGTAGATGTGGTTACACGTACATGTAAAGTTACGCAAATTGGGTTTTGCCCCTGGAACACAGATTAATTTTGGTGAGGTTGCAAAAATATGTGTAGGTAAATGACCCATTTGTGCTTGGTTTTCAAATTTTACTTTAAAGATGATGGAAATCTTTATCATGAAATTTGAAGCTATAGTTACTGTATAAGCCGTTTGCAACTTAAATTTGAATGGAATCTGGTACGCTGAGTTCTTGAAATTTACCCGAACATAACAATTTGAATTCATCATACTAATGACACAGTTGCTATACATGTATATGAACCTTGTTATTCGGGCAAGGTTTTGCTTACCATAGTTACATACAAGTACATATACATAAGAGACGCCGTGCACTAATACACTGTTTTCAATGAAAAAGAAGGGCACAAAGGAACCAGTCCATTCCAGAGACGGTGGTCGCTATGTAAAAGCTTGCCCTGAATTACGTGGTATAGCAACAATATCTTTAGTCTGGAAAATTCAAATTGTTTTGTTTGTTTATGTGCAATCAGATAACTCAGTGTACTAGATTTTACTCAAATTTAATTCGTAAAAGGCTTATTGGCTTGCTAGTCCGGAGTGCCATTCTATCAGCCAAGCTCACCCCCTTCAATTGGCTAGTCAAAAGTAAGGTCTTCAGGTGAACTTTGGGTGCAGCGCTCTACAAAACCAAGCGTGGGACATATGGCCTGCTTACTAGTAATGGATGAGGCACTGTCATATATTCTACATGTACCATCTGTCACTGTTGAAGTTACATGTACGCGGTACAATGACATCCAATACCTAAAGGAGTCCTTGCAGGTGTTCTGTTGTAAGTGAAGTGTCCAGGGCATCCACTCCTGAATGCATTTGAACTCCTGGATTTCCCAAGTGGGAGAAACTCTACTTTGTCCGGGTGTTGCTAAAATATGAACAAGCCTTTTGGGTATATCAAAAAGCAAGGCCACTGAGCCCAAGAATAAAGCTCATGTGCTAGTGGACTTATGGCAGCATTGATAGGGCTGACCTTGCACATGTAAGGCCTAGAGCTATTTTAGAATGAAATGGGACATGGTTTATGTACTGGTACATCTTGGTCACATGCTGATGGAATACTGAATAGACTCATTAGTGCTGATTGATACTGGCAAATGTACGCTGTATTCATGGTGTGTGAGCAACACACGCTTTACTTTCAAGGACAGAGATTTGTGCAAACGCAATGATTATTGTTGTCTGCATGATGCAGTGAACTTACCGTAGGGATTAGTTTTTCCTCATAAATAACATTTTACATTTCTCCTTGGAGTTAGTGGTACATGTACCGGTACATGTATGTAACCAGTACGACAAGCCATGTCCAACGGCCGAGTCAGTTTTCCATACCGTTAATCTTGATGGACCTTTCCAGGCAATTCATGTGTATTTTTACATGTAGTGGTACAAAAATCAATGGGAACCACTGAAGCATACAGTACCGGTACAGTATATTTTGTGCAGGTATTCATGAACATACATACACATACATGTACGGTACATACCATGTACACACGCAGGTACATGTATATGTATATGGCGTCTTCTTCATAAAATGAACCAAAATGCAATTCCGGATGTCATTTTCAAACCTTTTAAAAAAGACTGACTTTGGTCATTTAAAACAAAAATTAGCACCTTCAGATTTATAAAAATGGTTATTTGGGGATAATAAGGCATACTGTGTACATTTGGTGGACATTGGTTGGCTACCCGTGCAAATCAAATGGAGTTAAACTCATTTAAAGATTCACGTCAAAGTATTTGCACCAGGAAACTTGATTTCAAAACTTCTCTCAACAACAAGGAGAATTCAGTATATTTTCAAGTTATGTACTGTATTTTAAAGCCCTTCAGAAGTGTACTTTAATGAAACACGAGCCATGAAAAAAAGACCACAAAATCCTTGTTCTCTTACTGTGTATAATCACGCTCACTGTACATGTACATGTACCAGCATATGATATCTGCCAGGTCTCAAACTCTTCAACCACTGAAAAAGTTTGGCTGCATGAAAAATGTATAAGAGCACCCTGTACATGTACAATATGTTCGTTGCAAACGTCACATTTGAAGGAATTTTGATGACGTTCGAGACTTTTGATGGAAAATGCATGACGTTCGACAGTGTGGAAAATACTGTCACATGTAGTGCTCAAGAATTCCATGCTTGATGTTCATTTTGCTGCTTGTTTTAGAGATATCCCAGCTCATGTATACATGTACATGTAAATCAAAATTAAGAACTCTGAGCATTGGATTTTTTATCATGAATCAAACAGTACCGGTATGTTACGTCACCCTCGTCATTTGTTTGTGAACATCATTCAGTTTGACAGATTTTCATTTGAGAAACCATGGTATGAAGAGAAAAATCCCAGAAACTTACTTGAAGAAAATGTAATCATTCCAGTCATAAAAGAATGATGGGTTGGGGTGCTTGTTTGCACTTTTTTAAAAACTTGTGTTGTACATGTACATTGTTTTTGATTTTACTCGCTGTTTTTTCTGCTGTCAATTTTTTTTACAGAATCAAATGAAGTTTGTGACTTTCGACTTTTGGACCCGATTATTTGTGAGAGATATTTATTCATTTCGGGATTATGGTTTTAATATGTGTAAATATTGTCACCAGTCACCACATACAAATCTGTGCAAAATAACCGTGGGAATTATTATTTCCTGACATTTATTTTTCCAGGATTTCAAGAGGTTGTTCACATCTGTCAAAAATTCTGATGTTTAAGACTTCAAGTAATCAACTCTGATTAAGTTGAAAGATGGGCAAAGTTATCAGTGTTCCAGACATCAGCCTTGACTCCCTTCATTTCATCGGACATTGGGAATTAATGCACTGATGTTCACTTCATGAAAAATGAACCCCCTCAAAGTTGAACATTATCTAATGGACCATATTTCGAGGAACCTGCCATATACATGTAGATGTAGGGCATTTCAACTTTGTCATTTGTTACTGTAGATACTTTTAGACAAGGCACAAGTTACACTATGAACATTTAACAAAAGAAGTGTGGTGCATTCACTATGGACGCTCATTGTAAGTGTACTGCACTTCTTTTGTTAGATGTTCATAAATAGCGTTAGTACATGTACATGTATGTGCACTGAGCTAGGAACACACCTAGTTACATGCACATGTACAATGTATAGGCCTTTTCACACTGCAGAGCCAATCCCCGGGAAGTAAATCCCTGGGAAAAATCCCAGGGATTTTTTACCCACCAAAACCCCAATAACTGTTCACACTAGACTCATTTGGTAACTCCCGGGAACAGTATTTCCTGGGAATATGCACGGTCGTTTCACATTGGCAATCAAACCCTGGGAAATACGATGCCAGAAAGACAACGGGAAACATCGCTGTAGTCAAAACTACTTTTCGAGAAAAACAGCATTGAAAAAGGAGCATGCGCCAGTGCTGTGAACGTTAGCCACTCGTGTGTTGTGGGAGCTCCATAATCATTCTCGATGTATTGACACAAGCAACATTATATTTATGGGCAGCTATTGCCATGAAATAACAAAGTAAAGTGAAAGAATCTCCTCAAACATTGTTTCCTGGAAGTTATATTTTTGTCTTTTGGAAAAGGAGAAATGGCAGTGGAGTTTCGTTATCACAAATTTCTGTTGACATTGGAAAGGCTGTTGACTCTGTCACCCAACTTTGTTCCTAGATTTCGGAACATTCTTTTTTCCATATTAAAATTTTTAGTACATGTACCTCTTAACCCCTTCGTGCAGGGACACGGCTAGAAACGCCGTAAAAATTGAGATACTCAGCCTGCTTTTCAGCTATTATTCTTCGCCCACGCTCGAGCGAACACAGTAAAAGAAGGCAGACCCTAGCT